ATTTTTAAGAGGACACCAAGCTTTGCTTTCCAGACATGAAAGGCTCCCCTGCAGTCCCTGAAGTACATGCCTACTCTGAGGAGCCCTGTCTTTCCTAGGTCAGATCTGCCTCAGGCATCTTAATTCTACCTGAGCAGGCAGGCCTTGGGCATCCAGATTTTCACTGTCCCTTCTACAAATCAGAGTTAAGGAGAAGTGACCTGGAGAATCTCTGCTTGTTCAGTCTGTCCTCAAGGGCACCTGTCCTGAAGGACTGGAGCCACAGCAGGGAAGAGACCTAGATGTTCCCTCATGCACAGTTGCTGTGGTCCACTGTTCCTGGACTTGTCTCTTCTGTCCTTATGCACCTGCCCTTCCCTGTGGGGATGTCTGTTAAGGCATGTCTGCCTTAGGGGAAAGAGGAACAAGGGACAAGTAAGCCCTTATCTGGCCCTGCCTAGGAAACTCACCTCTTCTAAACAGAAGAGCTTGGCTTTACCTGGAAACCTGCAGAAAGTTTTTTTCGTCTTGTATATACTTTTGAAACATAAATTCATTTTTAATACCTCCCTTAGTCCTTCTCAGAAAATTTATTCCCCTTACTGATTTTAGTGCTTTTATGCCAGAACTTCCTTCCTCCAGAGAGAAGAGGAGCTGATTGGCATTGTCTCCTTCAAATTCTGTACTTTTAATGACTACCACTAAGTCTTTTGGAGCCAACATCTTCTCTAGACAAAATAAGCTTGGTTCCTTTATCTTTTCTGCATATATTGTATTTTCAACTTCTTTGTCATGACTGACCTCGTGTAAATTATAGCATCAGACATAGAAGACTGATAAAGGCAAACAGTAGACAAAATGTTTCTGACAGAGCTTAGAATTTCTCCCAAAAGCAGAGGGAAAATAAGCATATGTGAAATGTATTCACACATTTATAAACATTAAATAAACTAGTTGTATAAATAATATTGAAGGAGTATTAGAGATGACATGACCAAAGTTGGGTAGCTATTGTGAGAAGAAAAATGAACAGTGATTGGAAGTAAGGAGAAACTGGAAATTCTCTGTGTTCATTAATTGTGTTCATTGAAGTATCCATCTCCAACATCTGACTCAATGTCTTGCTTATTTTAGGCACTCATTAAGTCCTTGTTGACTGTATAGCTTACTGACTTGACTGACTATATAGCTGACTGGCTTTCTGTAGAACTGGAAGGGTAGGCCAAATGATGTGGTTTGTAAATAGTTCATGTAACTTGTCTACTCCAAGTCATAGAAATTTTAGGATTTTTAGAGCACATGATTTTGAGTAGCAAGACATTATAGATATGCTACCCTGTAGTATTTGTGCCTGCTGGCCATCATTTCAGTCTTCTTCCTCCTGACTCTGTCTGGTTCACTTATGTTCCTACAAACCAGCAGAAGAGGTAAGAGCTCATCTCAGAATGATTTTCCAGCCTACTCACGTGATTCATGCCTTAATCATATCCCCATATCTTAGCACTGCTGCCACATTCTTTTCGTTCAACTTTATTTAAGGGATGTCATTATTTAGCAGTTACCTTTCAAAAGAATTATTCTAGGTATAGTTTGGTGGTAGAGTACTTACTTCACAGGCGTGAAGTCCTGGGTTCAATCCCCAGCACTGGAAAAAAAAAAGAACGGAAAGAAAATGTTCATTCTTCCCATTCAACTATCCCCATATATCATCCTCTGTCTCCATATTAGAGTATCATACTCTGCCACCCTCAGAGCCCTACTGAAAGACTGTGCCTTAGGTTTCTTTTTCTGACATATGTTTGTCTTGAGTCACCTTGCAAATGCTTAAATATAGCATGTTCGATAATAACAATAATCTTTAAATTGTGTTGCATTCTAGATTGAATCCTGAACAGAAACAAGTGGTAACACATGAATGAAGTCTGTAATTTATATAATAGTTAATTTCTGAGTTTAAAGCAATGTCCTGTGGTTATATAAGATGTAAACATTAGGGAAATCTGAGTGAAGGATATGAGAGTATGAACATTTTACAAATAAAAAGAAAATTTGGAATAAATCAACTCAACCCCACATCCATCCTTCTTCTTCCTGTACCCTCAAGAAACTGGAAGAAACATATATCTTTGAACTCAGAAAATCTTAGCCTTGTATTCCAGCTTTATGACGCTGGCAAATTAGTGTTGGTTCTGAGCCCTGGTTCCTCATATGTAAAATGGAAGTTATACTTACTATGTGGGATCATTGTGAGGGCTGAGTGAAATACTGTATGACAAGTGCACATCCCAAATTGGGCTCATCTTCTTATCAGTGTTTAATAATAAGAACATCATGAGAAGTAGGTCTCTTGTCTGTCATATTGTTTGTTACTGGAAGTAGAGATTGGTTCTATCTCTCGGCCTCTCAAAGGACAGTGGTCTACCTTCCACAGCAGGATGCCTTTCTCTAGGGAAGCTAAGGTGACGTGAAGAAATTGAGCATTTTCCTTCCACTTCTCCCAGCTGCCCTGGAACTGGTCTGTGCTTTCTGCCATGGGTACAACCTTGAACCATCAGAGTTGAAGAGAGCACAGCTTCAGGAACTGTACTCTAGTTCCCAGAATATCATTTATGGTTTTGTCACTCTCTTAGACTAGTTTCATTTCTGTGGGGGAAGCCATGCTTTCCCAAAGATCTCCTCAGTGCCTCTTCTACTTTTCAGGAGAGCTCCAAACTAGAATACACCTATCTCAGTCCTCTGTGGGATAAAGACTTTGTCTAACTGATCTGGTGACCCTTTCCATGTACCAGTACAGTAACTGTTATATAGTGTGTGTTTAATCAATGTTGGATGGATGGAAGGGTGGACAAATTAATCTCTAGAATTTGATAATGAATTCATACTTAACTGAAAGACTGAATGATGAATTTCCCAGGGACCCAGATATTAGGCCAGTGGTTCTAAACCTTGGCTGTACTAATCACTGGGAGAGTACTTACTTAATTTTTTGTTTAACACTGATTTCTGGGTTCTATTCAAGCATGTTTCCTGTTTTGTTGTTGTTGTTGTTGTTGTTGTTGTTTTTTGGTACCAGGGATTGAACTCAGGCCCTTGTGCTTGCTTGCGAGGCAGGTAACAGAACCACTGAGCCAAATCCCTGGCCTTTTCCTGTCATTTTTTAAAAAGCTCTGCACGTGATTCCAATGGACAGCCAGGGTTGGAATCTGCCACGTGAGACCATTGTAAAAAGCATACCACATACATAACTGTTACCATTACATTATAATTATCAAATTATGTGTCCTTACCTCATTTGACTTTATGCTCCCCCCACCCCCAATACTGACTGATCCACCAGAAGAGTGTTAAGATACATCCCCATCCCTTTTTAATTTGAGACAGGGTCTAGCTAAGTTTCCTAGCCTAGACTTGAATATATGATCCTCCTGCCTCAGCCTCCCAAATAGCTGGCATTATAGGCATGCCTACATCTGGCTGACTTTATGCTTCTTGAACTCAGACACTTATCTTCTTCATGTGTGACATAGTGCTTGGCATCTAGTATATAGTCATAAATGTTAATTGAATAGGTTAATGGTTTCTTTCATTTAAGACATAATTGCATAGAACCATAAAAGACAGTCTGAGAAAATGCTAGCACCATTAGTTTTGTTTTGGGTTTACTTTGCATATGTGGTGCTCTGTAACTATCTACCCTTTGATAACTATCAGCTAGTTCATAATCAGTTGTTTTTTCCTACTTATCTGTCTAGATGCTATAAACTAACAGCAAACAAAAATATTGGACTTTGTTAGGGAGTCCCCATTCAGAATATTTTTCCCATTATTCATATCTGTACCTGGTTTATTATTCACCTTTGCCTTGCTGGGACAAAATAATTGATACCCACAATTTAAAGGAGGAGAGGTTTATTTGGCTCCAGGTTTCAGAGGTTTCAGTCCATGGTCAGCTGGCTCCAAGCCAGAAACATGCTAGAAGGGCGAGGCAGAGGAAAGCTGCTCAACTCAGGGCATCTGGGAAGCAGAGAGCAGAAAAGCCAGAGAGAGAGCAGCCAGGGACAAGATGGAGTCCCCTAGGTTAAGCTCCCTAGGATCCACCCAGAAGTGTGCTTTACTAATTAATCGAAATATCTCAAGCCATTCAAGTTGACACTCAAGATTAACCATCATACCTGGGTTCTAAAATTTACCATCACTGTGTATTTTGGATGGCTCACTAATGTGATGCTGGTACCACTGTTCTCCATTAATGAAAGCCATAGAAGCCTCTAGACAGACACATAGGTTGCCATGCCAGTATTACTCAACTCTAATATCAGTTAATTTAGGCATGCAGTATAACAGCCAGAAAGACACTTAGAAATACCAAGTTCAGTTGCCCTCTTTATACAGTGTAGAAGCTGGAGCCAGGGGGTCTGGGACTTGCCTGAGGTTAGTTTATTAGGGACACGGCTGGTACAAGAAACCTGATGCTCTGGTCCACAGGCCTGGACCTACTGTAACATTTCAGATTCTATTGAAAATGAAAGAACAGAATTGGGAATGTAGCTCAGTGATAGAGCACTTGCATCATTGGCCCCAGGTTTGATCCTTAGCACCTTAAAAATAAAAAGAAAGACCAGGCAGGTGCAGTGGTGCACACTTGTTATCCTATCAGGAAGCTGAGGCAGGAGGATTGCCAAGTTCATTCCTGGGCAGCTTACCAAAACCCTGTCTCAGCATAAAATTTGAAAAGTGCTGGGGAAGTACTTCAGTGGTAGAGCACTTGTTTAGCATGTTTGAAGCCCTGGGTTTAATCCATAATATTGCAAAAGAAGCACCAAACTTCCATTCGAATATTGATGTTAGAAAGCAAACTATAAGGAAAATGTATCGTTACAGGTTCTGAGGAGGTTTGAGGAGTAGGAGTACATGAGAAGAGGAAAAGGCAGAGGAAAGAAATTTTTGAATGAAATTTTGAGTGTTAAAAAAGCAAATCTCACAGCACAACAGTTCACTTGTGTGTCTGCCTTTGTTTTCAGAATCTTCCCCCGAGAATACCTCCTTCAGCAGATCCACCTATACTCCCTCGCTGACCTGCAGCAGGTGAGTGCTCAGAGAGCCCATTTCACATTTGCTTTCTTCCTAGGGGAATTTCTGTGTGGATTATGGGGTTGGCACTGTATTCTGCCATCACTGGTACATTTTTTTATCACAACTCCTGATACTCAGCTTCTATTCAGAATGGGGGAGGGGGCTTTGTATAAAAGATTATAGGACAGTAACAGATATTGGCAGGCATGTAGAGAGACTAGAACTCTCATACATTGCTCGTGGGAGTATGAAGTGGCACAACACTTTGGAAAACAGATTGGCAGTCCCTCAAAACAATATAGAATTACCATGTGACCCAGGAATTATACTTGTTGGTATATACCCAAGAGCATTCAAAACATGTATATATGCCCATAAAAACACAAGTGCTCAGTGTAGCATTATTCTTAATAGCAAAAAGTGGAAGCCCCCTCAAATGTTTGTCAACTGATGAAAGGATGAATAAAATGTTTAGCGGTACATTGGAATATTTTTCAGCCTAAAAGGGGGGAGGAGTATTGATACATGCTACAGTGTGGATGAGTCTTAAAAATCCATCATGGTAAGTGAAAGAAGCCACATAGAAAATTACATATATGTGTGTTTGTGTGTATGAATGATTCTATTTAAATGAAATGTCCTGAGTAGGCAAATTAGTAGTGGTCACAATCTGGAGAAAGCAAAGAAATAAGTAGTGACTGCTAATATAGGGTTCCTTTGGGGGCTAATGAAATTGTTCCAGAATTAAATATTGAAGATGACTGCACAATTTTATGAATAGATTAAAAAAAATCAATGAGTTGCTTACTTTAAAAGTGGATTTTCGCCGGGGATTTAGCTCAGTGGTTCTGCTGCCTGCCTTGCAAGCATAAGGACCCGAGTTCGATCTCCGGTACAAAAAAAAAAGTGGATTTTAAGGTATGTGAATGTTTCATTAAAAAATTAGTAAAGAAAAAAATTAGTAAAGAAAAGAGATGTGAAAGGCATGCCTTAAACCCTTTGACTTGTGCTCAAGCCAAATAGTTGAATAACTTACAGTTTAATAAAATATATCAGAGCCTGTAAGAGTCCAATCGTCTTTATAAACTTTTATTAGTACATGTACTTTTAATGATTGACCAGGTTAGCAGTTGGAAGAAGCAGAGGTATCCTGTGTTCAGCTCTAAGTTGTGAATATGTTAAGCTTTGGTTAATCATTTAAATCAACAACTCCTTAAGCTGTTAGACACTAAATGAAAACATTGCTTTCCTTTCTTTATATGTACTGATTGTTCTAAGAATCAGTTTAAAAAAAATAATTGTGACAACTTTCAGAACATCTCAAAATGCTGTGATTCTATTTTTCTGTTGTTTTCCTTTCCAGAGAAATGAGGTCATCTTAAAAACAGTTCAAGTCCTTCAGTCATTTTTCAAACTTTACTCTTTAGGATTTCTTATGTATATACCATTTTTTAAAAAATTCTAAAATTAATTTTTTTGTGTTCTTTGTCCTTCTAGAGGTAGGAAAGTAATTTTATTTTATTTACTTATATTGGAACTGGGGATCAAACTCAGGACCTTGCGCTTGCGAGGCAGGTGGCAGAGCCACTGAGCTAAATCCCGAGCCCAGGAAAGTTATTCTAAATGGTAGAAATAATTTTAGAGCAGTTAGTTGTAGAGACCTGAGAAAAGACCTCTTTGCACATGCCAGCCTCCTCCGGCTCCTCAGTCCTGCCTGTTCTTTGCTTCATAGTCAGGCAGCTTTTATCTGCTGACTGGGGTGGAAAGGAACATATTTTTAATTACAATTATCCAGTGGTGTTCAAGAGGAAAAATCAGTTAGAATACCCATTATCCATATATCTGTTTTCTCAAGTCTGTCTGATCATAGTGTCTGGACACCCAGATGCTGTTGCTTGGTGTTTAAAGGCACAAAACATTCTTGTAAAGGTGGTTTAAAGTAGAACATGTGGGCTCCAAAGTGAATACTCTTTGAGGAGGCCGTTCAAAAGCAATGTTTGATATCAGATGAAGAGGAAGAGTCAGAGTAATTCCATATTCATTTTAGGATGTCAAAGTAATGTATCCATTTGAAATAATAAAGTCTGCTTTTTAATGCTTTCCTATATCCTGCTGTCTTTCTTTTCTTCCCCCTTGTAATAATTAAGCCATATGTGCCAAGCAGCCTACTTAAATCACTGGCAGTCGTGTTCTTGGTAGGCCAGGCCATTAGCCCCAGAGCCTCATAAGCAGCTTAATCAGTTTTCAACCTGGGTAGTAAAGTGATAGAGGCAATCAACAGCTTATCAAACTCCCTGTGGGCGGGGTGGCTAGAGCTCAATGCATCCATTTACTTAGCAGCTCACTCTAACCTAGCTCTTTGTGCCTGGCTTTAAGAGCCCCAAACTTATCATATTTAGAGGAAGTTTAATTCAATTACTTTTTCTGCCTGAGGTAGGATAAATTGATTTAGCTTTTGATCTGTCTGCATCTTGGCTGTCAATACTGAAGACCTACCTTTCCTTGGTTTCTGAGTAAATAAAAGCCATGTTTTCTAGGTCTGAACTGTTCTAGGAAATATGTAAGAAAAAAGACAGGAGGAGAAAGACAAAAGAAATGCTTTACTTTGTGAAAGACTGTATCAACAGTGGCAGGAAATCCTACCTCACCCACTCAACCACTAGCCCCATGTGACTCTACCACCTTGGTCTCTCCCTGCCTGCTTTGGCACCCTATTTCATGTCAGATTCAAGAGTTTTGAGTAAATTTGTTAGATTCTATTCCTCCTAAGGGGTTCTATGGTAGCAGATCTTTCTATCTTATAAAATAATTATAGAAAAAGGAATTTTGGCATACAGATTTTGTATCATAAAGGAAGACACATTAAATCAAGTGACAGAGTCACAGATCCTGAAAAATGATAGCAGTGTCCTTCTTAAATGCACAAATTACTTTCTGTAAATTTGATTTTTCCATTAACTTTTACTTAAAAAACAAAGTATACATTTTCCTCCCCAACAGGGAAAAGGCAAGAACTTAACACGGTAAAGAGGGATATAGAATTTATAAGTTATGTAAGAATAATGCAGCATACAAAGCACTAACCATAGATGTTGAAAGGATTCTGGTACCGAAAATATTGCAGCCTTCTTTTTTATATATATATTTGAGGCAGGGTCGCACTATGTATTTCAGGCTGGCCTCAAACTGGCAGAGTTCTTGCCTTAGCCTCAGGAGAGCTGTAATTACAAATGCATAGCATCACACCCAGATAGTTTTAACCCATTTCAGTCAACTGTTTGGTTGCACATTTCAAACTGCCAGGGGAAAAAAGAGAACCGAGACCTGTCATGTAAAGGTACAAGATCCCAGTGATGAATGTAACTGTACTGTATCCCTAAAATGTACCAATAAACTCAATTTAAAAAAAAAGAAAATTTCAAACTGCCTGAATGCATCTGTTGTTACATTCAAGACAGTCCCCTTCTCATTATTTGAATTTATTGTCCACTTTGCATGTATTCTACCTTAATATTATACACTTAGAATGGAAGGGATAAATAGCAAGGATGGGCAATTGCCTGGCAAAGGATATTCTTTCCTGTTGTTCTGAGAGCTGCAATCACCTGCCACTGGAAAGTAAGGGCCACTTATTGGCCAAATGTATGCGTGTACCAAGTCCTTAGTCGTCTGTTTTGCTGGTGATTAAATTGTTCTCCAAGTGTTACCAACGTGTATAAACATATGGTGGTTGAACAGCACCTAGTCAATTATCTGACAATAATCAGTTGGCAGCATTCAGCCCTAACATGGAAGGAGAGCCAAGAACCCTTCTGACCGAGTGGCAGAGCCAGGGACAGGCAGGAAAGGGAGGCAAAGTCTGTCCAGATCATAGGGCTTGGTTCACTCATTTCTTAAGTTTAGGATTGTGGAAGAATTTCTGTTCACCAAAGTAGGTATTATTAGAAAAGCACAGTGAATCACTTAGAAATGTAACCCTATTACAATATACCATTAATTTTTTTTTTAACAATCTTAAACATTTTAAGATGTGACTATACAGTGGTTTTTTAAACAGACAACCTTGGGCCAGGGATTTATCTCAGTGGTTCTGCCACCTGCTTTGCAAGCACAAGGTCTTGGGTTCAATCCCGGGTACCACACACACAAAAAAGTAGTAAACAGACAGCCTAGTTCTTTATAAAGGATTTAGTGAGCAATTACTAAGCTTATGTAAACAGATATGTATCAGTATATGTTTTTAATGGAGAAATGTCTTTAAGAGCTGTTCTTTGGTTTGATACTTTGAGAAGTAGAATTGAATTTGTTTTATTATTCTCAGCCTATCCAGTTTTATCACAAATCCTTGGGAATTTTATACGACAGGATAACAATAAAAAGATATACTCAGATAAGAAAGTAGGAATAGTACAAAGTGTAATCAAAATATATGATGATTGCCGGGCATGGTGGCTCATGCCTGTAATCCCCAGGAGGCTGAGGCAGGAGGATCGCTGTGAGTTCGAGACTAGCCTGGGCTACATAGTGAGTACCAGGTCAGTCTCAACTACATAGTGAGACCCTGTCTCAAAAAAAAAAAAGCAAAAACAAAAATATATGATTGTTTAAATTTTTAAAAAAATATCACAGTAAGAGATGCATGCCCATTAATCCCCCTCAAAATACCTACCCTTGCTTCAAATAAGTGTCATTATTCTTGGCACTTTCTGAAGTAATTTTGAAAGTCCTCTTTTGTGAATGTCTTTGTAAGGTGTGATAAAAATACAGTGAATGCTGCTGCCATGTGACATCCAATAGAAAGGCAGGATCATAAAAACATTACAGTGTGTTCACAGACCTGGCACCTTGTAACTTCTAGCTCTTCCCCAAAGTCAAAATGACCATGAAAGGTAAATGCTTTGAATGGATTGAGGACATCAAGGCAGCCACAACAGTGCAAATAAAGACACTCCCAAAAGGGGACTTTGAGAACTGTTTCAGAAAGTGGCAAGGGTATAGTCAAAGCAAGGAGA